AACCATCCCTAACGCTAAACTGAATCAAGAAATTGAAGTTGTGCTGACAAAAAGCCACCATTCTGATTGTAGAAATTACCAGTATCAACGGCAATACCAGCATCACAAGACGTTGTCGCGATAACTCACGGAAATGGGAATGATGTGTGAGGGCACGTCAGCTACAGGCAAACCCGCCTCCTGCAGTCGACGCCGCACGAAATCCACGCGACGGCGATGCTCTGCACGCAAGTCCTGCCCTTCCGCCGACTTGAGGATGGCCACGCTGGCCCGCGCTGCCGCCAATACCGGTGGCGGCAGTGAGGTGGTGAAGATCAGCCCGCCAGCGTAGCTACGCACCATGTCAATCAACGCCCTGCCTCCTACCAGGTAGCCGCCGAGGCTCCCAAATGCCTACAGCAGGGACAGCAAACATCTGCCCACGAGGTAAATACACCACCAAAAAGCACTATAGAGAAGCCAAACCAAACCTGGACACCCATCACCGTCTCCTTTGACAAATCTATGCCATGACTACAAGACAAAAGGCCATCGCTTCTTTAGAGTTATGAAAGATTCTTCAAGGTCATCTACTTCCTACGAATAATGCTAACGTGGAGGATTGGAACATCAAGAAAGTCTGTGTTATCTATCTAAAAGCGAAATGAAGCAACTGCTGAGCTGCCTTGGATTTTACCAAACAAATAAAATGCATTTCTTGGAGAAATAAGCCCCAACACTTCATAAAGCTCAATAAGAAGCTAGTTACCCTGACGCTCGCATTCAATTCAGGCTACCGTCAATTATTTGAGGCGTTGACCAACGCCAGTAAGCGTGCAACTGAAGTGTGGATGAAACTCCACGACGTCATTTTCATTGCATTAACATTCAACGGGGTTATTTTCTTGAACCATGACAGTAAAGTCCTGTTTAACTTAGAATCCGTCTTAAACCACTTTTGCCTCAACCAATACTAAAAGGCCGTAATGAACACTAGCAAATAGATGCTTTTACTCCTATCCTTTGTGCAACGCTTTTCATTACTCACCAGCATTTTCAACTAGAATGTATCATCTACATTATGGGTTCAGATGCAGTGGATGTTGTCAACAATGGGAAAAGTATTCAAAAAGGCAAAAAGTCAAGAATATCTCAAGAGACCTCTCACTTGATGGCAATAATTTGGTCTGACGACACGCAAATGAATAAGGTCATTGTTTTTATTTAACAATGCTGTATTTGGAGGCGGTGGGAATGGTGGCCTTAATTAAATGAATTCATTCTACTTGCACAATGACACGACATCGTCAGAGCCGTGAAGGGATATCGACAGCAGCATAATGCTTCACCGTTATGCTAATACAACTATTCAACTTGCACACCTTGCCCAGAGTGCCAGTGATGGCGTCGATGCGATGCATACAACCGAGCTCCTCCGCGACTCCACCTCCATATTCACCGTAGAGACCCACAGCGTGCACCTCATCCACGAAAGTCAGGGCGTTGTGATCCTCGCAGACGTCGAGGAATTCCCTCAGTGGAACTATGCTCCCTTTAAATAAGGTAAAAAAGACCTCCCGTATCTAGACTGTTCACGGTCGGTTGTTATTGGACTGCTGGGGCCAAACAGTCCATAAACTCTGCTATAAAACAGTCACACCACCAACTTCAACCTCTGACCTCCACAAAACACTGTCCATCGGCGGCATAAAAACCCGTTCATCTTATAGACCTTACTTTCCAGTTCCTCTCGCCTGCACATTCCCTCTATCAGCAGACCTCTTCCCAAAGCCCCATGAATGAGTGATAACGAATGATAGTGGCAAGAACATACAATTTGCGGTCGAGCAAGTCAATGCAAAGGGTGTGCTTTGATACCGATTTAACTGCCCACCACCGTAAAACAGATGCTTTGCCGCAACAACAGTTGCCCACATTTGGATGAGGACTTACTAATTTTTGCTATACGCATTCTTTCTGAAGACGTGAAAGAAAGAGTAGCGTACTTGGCAGAGATGTGACCGCTTCTCGTTGACCCTTATTGACAAGCAATTTGTGGCTACAAAACCCTACTGCTTACCCCTTCGTTCCACTCAAACAGGACCATTCTAGTACGCCTCACGGTTTCGTAAATGAATGGGAACAACTTCCTTCAGTAGTGACTAATTAGTTTCTTATTCCTTAAAAGCCTTCCCTTAACGTCCGAATCGTTACTCCAATCCTCAGGCATAGCGCAAATAATAGCCCATCTTGGCTTCGCCCAAACAACAAAACCAGGATCTAATCGGCCCCATGTACACTTTAGACTGAACAAAATAATAAGAACAGTCTATTTGGTGAAGCTCTCTGTTTGTATGAAATTCCTGCTTTCTGTCCTAAAACATCTGCCCACCACATCCATTCCTTACGCCAGTGCTCTCCTTCAATATCAGTACGCATTCAAATTTACCTTTTATTCGGGCAAATGCAACATGATTACGATAATAACGTCTTCGATCACCCATTTAAAGAATGCACAGCCTGTCTTGTACCCTCTACTCTCATATAAACTCTGCATTATCTACATTGAGGGATATCGCCACAGACAAAATAACTGTCAATGTACCACCCACTTCGTACGTTTCACCTACGCGCACTCCAAGACACCCACAAAAGACGGACTGTGCGATTCCGATGAATGCAATGACAGCACCTCTAAGAGCTGACTTTATTAACTAAACCTATTCAAAAAAGCAGATAAAACCTGAAATGACTAAAGCAGACATTGCTAAAATCCCCATTACTCAAAAACTCTTATTGTAATGGCATGAAGCGATAGGAGAGGAATGGACCGTTGGCAAAGGAATATGAACAACTAAAAAAAGAGAAAAACACACCACTGCAATGCCTGTTGGGAAAAAAGCGAAAATGCCTACCATTCATTGAATGAACGGTCTCACAAACCGCCAACTTGGGCTCCCTCGGAGTTGATTGTTGCTGCATCAATTCATCCAGATGGCCAGCATCATTCTCACGGTAGATGTACTTAGGCGCCCGACTAGTGCGTATGCCATGGATAAGGGAGGCATGATTGCCGGCATCAGAGAAGATCTTGAGGCCGGGGATCAACGTGCCCAGAGTGTAGATGGCAGCCTCGTTGGCGACAAAACAGCTGGTGAACACCAGACCTGCCTCCTTACCATGAAGGTCGGCCAACTCATGCTCCAGTGCTTCGTGTAACAGAGTGTTGCCAGAGATGTTGCGTGTCCCTCCCGACCCTATCCCGAATCGGTTTATAGCGTTCCTTGATGTCGATGAAAATACCCATTCAAGTCTATTTAATAAATCGCTTTTCAAGCACATCAACATAAACCCTAACGATTTACGACTTTTGCAACATGGTTGCAAACGAAGTAACGGCAAAGTCAACCCACCAACTTACCGAACTCTGAATAGTTTGTGGTTGGATAAATAAAATGATGTACACAGAGTGGAATTTGCTTTACCTCCATATTTGGCTGCACGGCTACCACGACACTGCCACAAGACTACCCTCAATCCACCTATACTACCAAGTCTATAGCTCTTCTGTTTGTTGATAATCAACTTACTTCCAAGGTGGTGGTGCCTTTTAGTACGGACGTTACATTGATTGCACTAACAAAAGAGGCACTACGTTGATTACACTTAAACATCACACCACACAAGAAAAGTATCCACTGCGAATAGCGGGATTTAAGTGGAAGAAGGCATACAACATAAAGCTACCAAAGTTGCACCGATTTACAGGACTGTCACAGTCCGAAAGCCGTCTAGTTTGCAAGAAAAGTAACATGGATCAAAGACTTGGTAGCATTAAAACAGTGAGAACAAGAAACAAGAAAACAAGTAGAGTAAAGAGCTGCCTAAATGTTTTTGACAAACCGTTCCACGGCTATTGGTTACTATTTGGAATTCACTCATTGTACAACACTATCCAGCCTCCAACAACTGAAGTCAAACGAATCTTTACAATCCAGCTCGTAAAGAGGACGTAGTGAACGAACTTCTTAAAGCATATCACAAGTGTCAATGCATTCGAGCACCACCGTTCCACTTTGTGCCCTACTATAATACCTGTAGACCAATAACAAACCTTATTCTACATTGGCCTGTCTACCAACTTCCTTGGGAATGGCTGACACCGATTAATGAGTACCAATAGACTATAACATAAAGTAGAAAGATTCAACATGCCAACAGGACAAAACATGCCATACAAGGACATTAAACAGTTATTCACCTTGCGCTCTCCAGAACCATGGGATGCCTGCTCATACCAAGATAGTCATTTGAGCACCACACGTTGATAGTTTGACGCCTTCCAGTGGAGAAGTCCTCCGCAAAGGGATAGTGGTTGGCATCTCGGAGAATTCGTCTAAACACACGATACGTCGCAGTGGCTCGCTTCTTTTCCAATTGCTCTTCGAAAAACGATGAGTAATCGAACCGAATCGCCTGCCCCATACCTGACAGCTGCGAGCATGTGCTTCTTGGAGGCGGAGGCATGGATTGCGCAGACTTGCAAGGATATAGGGCACACGTCGTCGGGACGAACGCGTCTACTAATTGATTCATGTAACCACCTTTACTTTTAGGTACTTCATTTCAAAGTTTGACCACACACTAATCAGTGCTCTGTAGATGCTCAACAAAATTGTGCGCATTCATTTAAGAAGTTAACAATAGCTTAGGTCACAATCACAGAAATGTGGATTCAGAAAAGAAAGAGGGGTAAAGTCGGCAAATAGAAGGCAAGGTCGATGTACCCAAAAGCAATATTTGCATGCTTGATTGGGCAAGATAATACTTTTCACGTAAAGGAGTCAATTTTAAGCGATAAACAAACAAGAATCAAGTAATTTATCGACATAGCCACTACCGTATTAAAGCATTTAACTCACAGTTGAATTTCAAGAAAATTTGCAATAACTGGAAAGGCGCCTATACGTGAAATGTTTCCTACTTTATTCCCATTGATAAAAATAACCCCTTAGTTTGCCCAACTGGGTCAGTGCAATAATGCAATGCAAGACAGGGTAGGAGTTACCACAGTCCTTTCTTTCCTTCTGGTGTTGCGGATTACCACTTTCCATTGAATAAGGACATTGGCCAAGTACGCACTTCTCCAAACCATCTGTAGTAAAGATTGTGTCTGTAAATATTGGGCCCAAACAACTACTACCTCATGTACTCAAGGATGTAAAGAAAGTAAAAAGTTTGAGGATATGAAACAGCCGCCTGATTAAGTAGTATACACCCGGTAAATGTAACGACTAAGTCCAATCAGGGAATAAAAAAGCCCGACTAACCACAAACTGGCGGAAATGGGAGTTGATCGTTGGCTAAGACAGCAGTGTGTGTCAGTCGACGCGGCCTAGAAAAGTTGCCTGGAGATTTTGAGCAATTTTGAAGGATGCAGGAGGCCAAATCCGTCAAAACTACACGTACACGCATCTAAAATATGATATTGATATTCCGTTGAGGAAGTAGTAGACTGACACCTCAGTGTCATCTACCAGTTTAAATGTAAATAAGGTAAGTTTCAAAGAATTTGGATGCAAAAGAGATGCGCCATAGAATAATAACACAGAATGAAACCTCCGACTAATTTGCCATTAAACAACTGCAGAATATTAAACCACTAGCTACCATACGAATCTACATGTTCTAAAATGGGTAAAAATGTTTGGCCAACATCGCCCTACAGGCCAGTCGCTTCCACTTGGCTTACTGTAGGTGGAGAGCAAATGGTGTGGGAAGACAAAAGAAGGGCAACAAAGTGACGCGCTGGAGCAAGGGTCGTTTAAAGCAAATACCCATCAGTGCATTTT